TGGCCATTAGCTCCATTTCACAGAAGTCCTAAAATATAAATTGAGGCTCAGAGATGTAAAGAGCCTGCTCAAGGTTATAGGACAATCAGATGGCAGGTCTAGTAAGAACCAGCTCCTCTTCTTCATAAAAATTAAAGTCACTACCCTTTATTATTAGGGAGCTCTGATAGCATAGTGCCTAAGGCACTTGACTGCTAACCAGAAGGCTGGTGGTTCAAACCCACCAGTCACTCCTAAGAAGGAAGATGGGGCAATCTACTTCCATAGTGATACTGCCTCGGAAACCCAAGGAGGGGTCGCTATGGGTCGGGTCTGACTTGACGGCACATAGCAACAACAACAACCCTTTATTAAGTCTGCTATGTGCCACATGCTCTTCCAAGCACCTTACAGATATTATCTAATTTAACCCATCCAAACAGTCTTTCTCATTTGACGTGTTTAGGAACTGACCTCCAAAGGTAAAGGAGCTGGTTCAAGGTCACAGCTAGGCAGTGGCAGAGCAGGTCTGGCTATAGGCTTGGACTCTGCTCCATTTCTTTGTGATACTCCTTTGTTGTGCAGGGGGCAAAACAGCAATGAAGCATGGGGGATGACAAGAGATGGTGAGAAAGGGGAGGGAGTGGAAAAGGTCTGAGCCAGTTATCCAGCTGGCCAGTTGGCCCAGACTGTGTGGCTGAGGTCCTGATTCCAAAGTGTGAAAGATCAGAGTTTGCATGACTTATGAGAGACTGAGGAGGATCTTTCATACAAAGGGGCCAGGCTGCAGAATGGGGAGGCTGCCCCATGCTCGAGTGATTTGTATGGTTGGCTGTGTGACCTGACTCAAGTCACTGTATCTCCCTGAGGTTGGTATAGGCCAGGTTTCAAAGCAGAGCTCCAAGCCCAGCAGGCAATGAGTGGGCAATTTGGGAAACTGAAGCAAGCAGGCTGGGTTAGAAAAACCTTCAATTGCATGACCTCAGAGCACCCTAGAGCCACTCATCAGTTTCCTAACAGAGAGCTAATTTACCCTTGCTATCCAGGAGGGACATGGGGAAACAGACCTCTACCAATTGCAAAGCATTAGGTCTCAACTCTTCAGAGAAGGAAATAGTGGCCCTTGGAAGCTACCATCTCAGCCTCCTGTACTTTCATATCTATTTGTGTCCTTCCAATAAAGGCCTGAAGGGCATGGATTTCAACCAGTTCCCAAGGATGTTATCATCTAGGTCTCCTTGATCTGTTTATTCATTCAACAAACATTTATGGAGGCTAGCAATGTACCCATCTCTGAGCAAGATATGTTCAGCAATATAACCCTTGCTACTCTAGAGTGGGACCAGAAAGAGGAGGCAATCCAGCCATGATCACACAGCAAGGAAGGGGCAGAACCAGGATTCTAACTCACATCCATGCCCTTACTGCAACACAGGCCAGCGCTGGTCCACCTGTGTCTGAGTTGAGCAGAGTTTGGGCCAGCTGCCTGTGCCATGTGCATGTGTGTCTGAGGTCCTGGATTTCCCATTGTCCTGGCACCTGTCACAGTTTAGCAGGTTACCATGGTATCGCTCCCCAGCACCCTGGGCAGCAGGGACCACCATCTGTTTACACGGCTGTCAGAGGAATTGATGTCATGTGAAATTGTTGGCTCAGCGGGGTGGGAAGAGGAAGAGTGGGCGGCTCTGAAATCTTCCAAGCCATCAAAACTCATCTTGATCAAAGCCTGGAGCAAGTCCCTGATCCCCTAGGGGGAAAGAAGAGGGACCAAGAAAGAGCATTTCCTGAGGAGAACTAGCAGGTAGCACTAGCAATAGTAGTATTATTGTTTCCATTTTTACTATCATTTACAATTCACAAGCTCATTTCAGCCTCCCACAGCCCTGGAGGTGAGTATGACCATTAGCTCCATTTTTCAGATGTCCTAACATATAAAACTGAGGCTCAAAGACATGAAGAGCCTGCTCAAAGTCATAGGACAACTGGATAAGGTGGCAGGTCCAGTAGGAAACAGCTCCCTAATTCTCAGTCTAAGAGAGTAGAGGTTGCTTTGGGCCCAGATGAGAGGTCGGCTGCTTACCTGTGCCCAGGTAAGCACAGGCAGTTTTCCAGTTGACCACACCTGTAGAAAGTGGAAGAGAAAGGATATGAAGAGCATTTGACTAAGAGCCAAGAGCCCTGGGTTCTAAATACAGCCCTGACCCAACCAAGGCTGCAACAAGAGACAGAGCAGTGGAGGTTACCCAGGGCACAAATCTCAAAGAGACATTTAAGCATCCCTGGAAATATAACTGCTTTCCCATGCAATATCCAGCCTCATGTCTAAATAAATGGTCACCAAGGATTTACAAAATATTGATTTGAAGGGACTCAAATTATTAGCTTACCTGAGTCACCCACTTGTCTCCCTTTAGACCAAGTAATATAAAGCCTTGGACAAATCCTGCCTTGGCTCTGGGCTTCAGTTTTCTCACCTGTAAACTGAGCATTGTCATTTGCATTTGCTGGTAAGGAACAGGGAAAAGTGAGAGGGAAGGGCTTGATGCATGTGCCCTGCAACAAAATTAGGAAGCACTTGGACTCTCTCATCCTTACTGGGTGTTCAAAACCTTCTATTGTCTGATAAGCAAAGGTTTTCAGATGGGAAGTTTCTGTTCCTTTTTAAATATATGTCCTTATTCCTTGAAGATACAAACTGAAATATTTATGGATGAAATGTTATGATGTCTGGGATTTGCTTCAAAATATTGTAGGAGGGGGATGGTGGGTGAAGATATAGATTAAAGATTGGCCAGGAGCTGTTGAAACTCAGTTGATGAGTATGTGAAGGTTTATTACACTGCTTCTCCACATCTGTGTAAGTTTGAAATTTCCATGGTAAAATGTGATACAGAATAAACCTCTGGCCTTCTGTCAGTGTGAGCTGCTCTGACATATTTCAACATACTGCACCCAGAACCCAGGACAGGCCAGCCGGAGGGAGGCGAAAAGAAGGATGCCAGGAAAATTGATAGAGGCATTAATTTGAGCTTTGTGCTTCCTGTGATTTTTCTCTTCCCCCATCTCAAATGAATTGGCAGACTTCATGTTCCCTGACTTCCAGGGAGGGCTGAGGGAAGGCAGGAAGCAAGGGCTACTCGAGTCTTCTTTGAGGAGAAGGGAATATTTTGTGTAGGTTGGCTAGAGAGATGTGGGAGAGGTTTCCAAGGCATCCCACTTTGGCAAATTCCTCAAGTTCCAGAGAGGTATAGAAACCATAGATTCACAAGTTCCATGGCCTCAAGCGACCAAGACTGGGAGTGTCTCCATAGGACCAATGAACACTGATGGCTAGTGACAGAGGGGACCTCTCAGAGGCCTTGGCAGGGCCTAAGAATATATGACATTTGCCTTAAACCAGAGGGTAAACTGATCCCAAATGACTGACACTGACTTCTGATGTGTCAGGTGGGATGGCAAATTGGACTTAAAATTGATTTAAAGAAAAGAAAAGAAAGGCATATCTTTGCTATTCATAAGGTTTTCCATTTGATTGTGTGGATCATGACAAATTATGGACAACATTGAGAAGAATGGGAATCCCCAAGTACTTGATTGTACTCATGAGGAATCTGTACCTTGACCAGGAGGCTGTCGTTCAAACAGAACAAGGGTACACTACATGGTTTAAAATCAAAAAGGGAGTGC